TTTCTAGTTCATAAATTGCACCCTCAAGAGGGTTTATTTTTAATTATCAATGATAATTCAGTCAGTTAAATTTTCTGAACTTTTAGGGTATTAAGCCCCAGTTGAATGGGTAAAGGAACCTCTTGTTGATTGTGCAGAGATAATCATGTGCCATTGCCCAATAAGGGTGTTTGATTACCCTTTAAACCGAGACCATCATATGCCGATAAGGATTTTTTTTTATTTTTTTTTTTATNTTTTTTTTTTTTTATTTGTGTTTGATAAATCATAGATGATGGAAGTCTATATACATGGGGAAGAGGATTTGGTTGTTCTTCAGATGCGTGTGTTCCTATCCATTTAGATACAAAGTTTTCAATCGACAAGGTTGCTTTAGGATGGAACCATGCTTTATTGTTAACAAGTAAGAACTAATGTTCAAGTGAACCATATCTCTCTCTTTCACGCACATTGATCGTGGTGATCTATTTACAGGAGAAATGGAGCTATTCATGCTTGGCGGTAATCGTCATGGTGCACTTGGTGACTTGCAAAAACCATCCTTATCGGATAATGTAGCTGGTAATGTGTGTGTGTGTGAGAGAGAGAGAGAGAGAAAGAGAGAGAGAGAGAGAGAGAGAGAGAGAGAGAGAGAGAGAGAAGCCGCATTCATTTTATTTTTTTGTCTGGAATCCTCATTAGATTACTTTAGTGGCATAAACATAGCAATTTTGGTTTTGGTAAAATTAAAAAATGGTTTGGATTTCTAAATGATTTTTATTTCTGCTTTTCACAGGAAAACCTAAAGAAGGGGTTGTGAAGATAATTCCAGATCAGCACGTGGATTCAAAAATACTAAAGATTGCTGCAGGGGCAGAACACTCGGCTTTAGTAACAGGCAAGGAGTATTGTACACTTCTAACTATTTTCGATGTTTATCGACTACACTCTATTAAGTTGCATTTCAATTTCACCATCATTTGTTCAGAAAATGGATCAATAATGACATGGGGTTGGGGAGAACACGGTCAGCTTGGTTTGGGGAATTCAAATGACCAAACTGCCCCTCAGTTTGTAAGCTTAGGCAGTAAATATGCTGACAATCATGCTATTTCCAAAGTGTATTGTGGCAGTGGGTTCACATTCGTTTTGAGGACGTACAATGATTATAAGATGACGGAAAATTGAGGATGTGAGGAAGCATTTTTTACAGTGATTACAAAATCGCTAACAGCCATTGCTTGAAGTGTGAGAACCTTTCTAAGCTTATGGATTTGTGTTGTTTCTTGAATTAGCTGATTGAAGTTTTAAATATGCATAGTACCAACTAGATAACATGGCGAGTAAGTAAAAGCCATTACATAATTTGTGGATGTAAGAAGGGGACGAGTGAATGTAGTTGTATTTAAAGGCAGAGATATACCTCATTTCCCTTTCAATTAATACTGGCAGAAGCTTTTGATCTTTTCCTTTCGCTTTTAGTTGCGGCAAATTGCTAGTGTGGATGGCAATATGATTTTACTAGCTCAAAAACGTTTTCCTTTTTTTTTCCATTTGGGTTGTGAAGTTATAGTTGGTCGACGAGTAGTTTACAAATGGACTTAAACGTCTGTTACTAAATGAGGAAATAGAATTACTTTTAAGCTCAAATGACTGTTTCATTCCCATTTGTCTTTTATCAAATGAGGGGCATTATTTTTAACCTTATTAAATTTGTCATTTCTAATTTTTTGCATTCATAATTGTTTTTATTACCAATTATATTATGATACTAGTTCTCCAAAAGGCCTCGTTTTGGGAATATTTATTTTTTCCCATAACAGATGATTGCAATGTGTTTTTGTGAATTGAATTTGATCCGGGAGAAGTCTAGAATATGGAGTCCACAAAAAATAGTGAACGTCTATGACCTCTATAGGGAAGATGATAGGGGTTGGGATAAGGAGTGGGAATATTTATTTTTTCCTATAACAGAGGATTGCAATGTGTTTTTGTGAATTGAATTTGATCCGAGAGAAGTGTAGAATATATAGAGTCCACGAAAAATAGTGAAAGTCTGTGACCTCTATAGGGAAGATTATAGGGGTTAGGATAAGGAGCTCATAACTCAAACATTCTTGCCAAGGGAAGAAGCTGAGGAAATCCTTAAACTTCATGTGCCATTTGAAGGAAAGTAGAATTATCTTGTGTGGCAGCCATTTCTCAGTGAAACATGTCTATAATCTTCTTGTGGATAGTTCAGGTTTAGACAAAGACATCCCAGAATATAGCTATCAAAACATTACTCACAGGAAGATTTGGAGAACATGGGGCTTACATGTTAAAAACAAGATCAAAATGTTTGTGTGAAAACGTTGTCACAAGTTCCTTGGTGTCCAAGATCAGCTCAGGAAGAAAAGGATGGTGGTGGATCTGATTTGTAGTCTGTGTGGAGAAAAAGAATGAGACTCTTGAACATGTTTGGCTGCATCAGAGCTAAAAAGGTTTAGAAAATAGCAGGACTTAACTGGGATGTGCTAGGAGAAGCCTCGTTTACTTGGCTTGACAGGACAGGATAAGTAAAATTATCCCTTAATATCTAAAGTTTACATAAAGGGATTGCGACAAGATTGAACTGATGTGGCGCACATGTGGAGTGGGGGCCCCACTACTTATCAAATATTGGAGGATTAAATAGTCTTGCCCCACCCAGGAATTTTTTATCCCAACATTTCATTTACAGATTTGCGGGCCCCACTATTTCAGACAATCCCATCCTACAATGTAAACACTGGACTAAATGGTGACGTGTAAAGTTGTATTGTTGTACTAATTTTTTTAAAATTTGGTGGAGTGTGCTGTGCTTAATGGATCTTATGTTCCCAACCCACCCTTAGCTCCAGCACCAACACCTTCAGTTGACCACACTTCCCTTCCCATTTACAGTAATTGCACAAAGTTTGACTTCTTCAAAACAATAAAAAAATAAAAAAGCAAAAGTGGCAGAGATCTCAGGAAATGGCCGCTTCTGTTAAACAACACAGCCCTCATTCTATCCTTCCCCTCTTCGCGTCCTCACTTATGATCACAAAATAGTCTCAGTTACGGTGAGAAGTGCTCGACCGTCTCTCCAATCATTGTGAAAAATTGAGATGATAGAAAAATAATTATCAAGTGATCAGATTTGGAGATTATGGTTCATAAAAAGATTAATGTAAGTTTTAATCAGTTTTTCAAAGGTGAAAAAATAATTTCGCACACAAGTCAATATGAATTCTGGATAGTTGAATCACCCAAATTTCAGCAGGATACATTTATCCTATCAATGCAGGATTCAACCGGATTGCGTTGAGAGCTTTATCTAATCCTACGGGCCTCAATCATGCGTAAGGATTCAAGTCCCACAATTGTATCCCAGTCAATGAACCAAAGAAGCCCAAAGTGATTAATAGCATCTCTTTTAACCTAGGATCNACAGAAACAGGAAAAATACCATAACAGAAACAATTTTTTGCATTCCATGTACAAAATTCGGGTCATTACAAATACTGAGGCTTCGTTATCTAGGTAAATGCACATTACATGAACAGATTGAATATTGCGGATAGTAACTGTAAATATTCGTCATATGTTTCATGAGGCTGTTCCTCGACTTTCGGGTAGATTTTATCCCGAGCAGCTTTGCATTAAGGAAGATAATGAGCAAAGAATAAGTTGTCATCTCCATAATGCGCAATAACAGGAAAAATACCATATTGGGCAATAAAGTTCAAGGACCCTACACAAATATACAACTTGCTGGTCTACAGTTGGTGTTGACAGTTGACAATTACATAGCCAAAAATATGAATCAGATAACACTCACAGAAGGATTCTAACAAGATCTACACTGTAATCAACATAAAAGAATCAAAGTTAATCAACCTACAGCCCGGTCCTACATGCACAACAGAAAAAAAACTCGACAAGCAATTCTTTTTTATGTAATCAAGTAACAATTAGAAGGTTGTTCTCATATCCGTTATTTTTCACGATGGGCCTTAGGGGATCGACCTTCCATTTGCCATCAACAATAAACTTGATCTGCAATAAATTTATTATATTATGTAAAAGTCTTTCAGTGATGGTATTCATCATAAACGCGTAAAAACGAGTTCAAGGCTCGTGGCTGTTAAATTCTACCCACCTCATGTCTACCAGGATACAGCATTAAGCAAATTGAGAAGATGCCAGTCCTTGATTTCTCCAACTTTCTCTGCAATTCATTAGAACTCAGAACAATGAATCAATAAAGGTTAATCTAAAGTGCTCACAACAAGTCATCTTTCTGGGCAGCCAATTGTCTGCTACATGTAGCTGAAACACAATCTCTCTAGATTTTATGTATAATTAAGGGGAAGTTACCGAAAATATCCCTGAGGGTAAGCCTGATTAAAAAAAGACCCAGCAAATTTCTAAATTACAAATAACCCTTGCCATTTATTCAACTCACAAAATTGCAGTCCCGTGAAGCGAGTATTTGTGAAGGCAATACAAACCTAAAGGGAGTTTTGCAATGCTTTTTAAGGTGTATTGGCAATTCCGAAAGATAAATAGTGTTGATTGTAATTAAACTGAGCCTCAGAGATTGTTCTCTTACAAGTCTAACTTAGACTCAGTAGACTTATTGACTGTACTTTCAACAGTCTTTGTACTTCAGTGCATCCCAAGCTCTAACCTAAACCAAGAGACACCATCATTCACACAAATATGACTCACACAAAAGCTTATTGGATAGATTGGTATCCAACACTATTTTGCAAAAAGTAAACTGGTTAATGAGGTCAGGAAGTTGTGAGAACACCAGATAGGTCTTTATTATTCCTCTTGTTCTCTCCTCATACTTGTTCCATCCCACATGCATTTCTCTATATCTGCTTCTTTTGAAGTAAATCCTGAACTTTCAGTTACATGTACAACCAATAACGAATTAAGTCTAAACTCATAATGCATCCCACAAAAAAGCCCACACTGATATCATATGATGCACGAAAGTAAAAGTTACCATAAAGGTAAGAGGAGTCATTGTTCTTTGGACATAATAAAAGGAAATATGGGCTCCAATGAAGTTTATAAAAAAATTTAAGAGATATTTAACCTGAGACGTCCATCCATCAAAAGATCCTGCTAAGAAAACCTCAGAAGCCGAACTATGCCACACAATGCACGTGTTCCTGAGAAGTCGCAACGCTTTACGGGCTCCATCTATCCGCTTTTGCTTCATTTCTACTGCCTTCTGTGCATCACTGTAAGAATACAAGAATATGAAGATAGAATAAATTAAAGAGTCAATAAAACGAAAAATACCATTGGATGTATAATTGATTCGCTTACTTTATTGCTAATGCCATTTTCCCCTCTAATACGGCCAGCTTGACTCTTATTGATCTCAGTCTCTCCTTGGCACTCATGACATCATTCTCCTGAAATTCCCATGTATCATAAAGATCCTGCAAATCGCTAGGCCTTCCGCTTACCTAGCAGCCAACATGTTCGATGACGAAATGAGCATAAAAGAATTTAAATGATTTTTAGTTTTTTTCCACTTCAATTATGCTACATTATTAAAATGGAAGTCCACATCCATTGTGGCAAATGCTTATTAAAATGGACGTCCAATACGATTGTGGTAAATGTTTACTAAAATGGAAGTGTGGTGAACAAAAACACTAATATGAAAAGGTAAAGTCAAAGAACCAAGCTGCTATGTGTACCTCCTCTGAAATGTTTTCCTTCCTTTTAGATCTCAAGGAATAAAGAGCTGTGTTGAGCTCACTCTCTAGCTGCTGAAGATGAGTTCGTATCTGTTCGTGGTCAAGCTGTTTGTAGCTGCACCCATCCTCTGCATATTCTTCTGTTTTTACGAAAGTACCATCGTGATAACTTTCCTCATCAGGTTCTGTGCTATCCTTGCCTAAAGAAATCTCGGCAGCTGCAAAAATTAGAGAGTTGAAAGCTGATAATCAACTAAGTCAGGCAAACATCCACAAAGTCAAACCAAAGACGCTCAAGAGTCTTAAACCTTCAAAATTTGTATGTTGAAATCCAGCTCGACGGTTGCTCCAAGTTCTCCAAGTTTCTGGTTCATTATTTCGGGTAGAATTGGTGCCATATGTATCCGATATGTCATTTTGGTTTTCATTAGATGTGAGTCTGCCGTTTCCGTCAAGGCCAATCCTAGCTTTTACAGATTTAAAAGCACCAAAATCCTAACTCAGAATGAAAATTAATTGAACTTAAGAATAGATCATCATTCCTGAATAAACAATAAATTGCAGTTACATAGCTTACAATTCCCAGTTTCAGTCGGGATGCGATTTTAATATCAACTCAATCTTCATACAGAATATTTTTGAAAAATCTGCATCAATACGATAACATTAGAAAAAGTATACTTACCAGTGTTTCCATCTTTACTTCCAGCATGTGCATCGTATCCATTTTTCCATAAGTTAAACCCAAGATCGTTCTTCCTCTGCCTTTCCAATCTGCTCAGTATACCTTCAATGCCCAAATCTTCTTCAGCATCCATTTCTCTAAACCAGATAAAGATCTCTATGAGAATATTACCTTCCATAAATATCAAGACCCATTTCATACGCAAAAACTTGTGCTGATAATCTTTACTTGCTAATCCAGACAATCAATGCTATATGGCTCGTATTAACATGAAGCTACCTAATACATAAAACCACAAATTCAGAAACTTCAATGTCCTTTCTCCTATGTCCTTCTACTTTGTCCTTTGACATGACAATATTGCACGTAAAGAAAGCCTCAAGAAAAAAAATTCATTAAGCTTGAACCAACAAAAGAAAGAACAAGAAAAGAAAAGAAAAAGCACGCCAAACTATCATGTAAAAGAAGAAAAAAAAAGTCTCACATCGATTTTTCCAGCGATGTTGAAGCATTCAACTGCAGAAAATCCAAATCACCAGAATTCGAATAAAGTTCACAGTCATCCCCTGAAAAATAATTTCCAGAATGCTCTCCCCAAGATGCACTTTCTTTAAACTTTCCAACTCGCCTCTGGAACTCCGTAATAGCAATATCAATATCGACTGGTTCCTCAACGTGACCTTTCGCATCTTCACCGCCCCAACCTAGCGAGTACCACCCACCTCTCTTCTCAATAGCCTTCACCAAATCCAATCGCCCGCCACCAATCAGCTCCTTTTTCGTCGGGAACATCGTCGGTTTCTCCGATTTCGCCATGAATTTCATAATCTCCTCCTCCAACTCCACGTCACCCCCTTCCGCTCCGCCGCGCTTGCACCAGCAACGCCAACTGCTATCGCGATTTTTCCTCGATTTAGTGAAACGGAAACTCGGATACGAGAAAACGACGGATTTCCCGTAAATTTTACCCTTTCTCCAGGGATTACGCACGAAAATCGGAGAGGGGACGAGAAGAGGACCGCTCAAGCGCGAGAAAGAGTGGTGATGAGATTTGGGGATGCAGGTGTTTGCGGCGATGAGAGAGAGCATCGTTCAGGCATTTCGTCGAGCAATAGTATGTTTTCGGGCTTCTTTTCGGGCCTAAATAGTATGGATATACTCAGCCTCGACCCCGAGGGAGCATATCGTTTGAGTTCGTTGCACTCTTGCTCTTTCATACTTTAATCCCCCTCCCCTCATAATGGGTTTTTTTTTTTCGTTTTTATTTTACTTGTTTATTTATTTATTGCTGGTGACATTATAAAAATTTAACAAAATACATGCATTAAATTTATATAAGTTGGCAGTAGAAAGGAGATGCATCTATCAAATTTATTTTGAAGTCTTTCGGTATGTATCTTAGCTTCAAATCGGCCGATTATTGCAAGTTGGGATTTTTGTAATAGACTAGTTTTAACTCAGTGCATCGAAAATGATATAATAGAGGAGAAAATAATAAAAAATACAAACAAAAATTAAAGTCACAACTTAACTCAAATCAGCGTTCTAGAACGGTGACCTGCAGGAAGAAATTTATACTCCTCTTTGACTTATCATACTTACCCTACATTGCCAGTGGTTTATACTCCTCCATAACATACTGCTTTTAACCATATTTTATCCACAACTTCTGTTCCTTCATCACCATCCTCACACTCTCCAGGCCATATGTCATCTCATCATTCTTCACCACATTCACCTTCCTCTCATCACTCACATAGTCAATCATCAGCTCACTCTTCCCCACACACCTCAGCATCCTCTCAATCTTCCTCACATCACATACCAATTGGGCAAATCTTCATAGACTTGCCTATGGAACAGCATGTTCTAGCTAACCACAATGCTGCGGGTACTCATGCTATGACCACTAGGTCAAAATCTGGAGTTTTTAAGCCCAAAGTCTTGTCAGCAGTTGCTCATTTACCTAAGGAACCTTATACTGTTGAAGAAGCCTTACTATCTCCACAGTGGTTTCTTGCTATGAAAGAGGAGTATGATGCTCTCCTTAAAAACAATACATGGTCATTGGTTCCTGCTCCCATTAATCACAATGTGGTTGATAACAAATGGGTTTTCAAGTTAAAAACTAACCCTGATGGCACTGTTGCAAGGCACAAGGCAAGGCTTGTGGCCAAAGGCTTCACACAAAGTGTTGGAATTGACTACCATGAAACTTTCAGCTCTGTAGTCAAACCCACAACTATAAGGATCATCCTTTCTCTTGCAGTCTCTCTTGGATGGAACATTAATCAAATAGATGTGGACAATGCCTTCCTCAATGGGGATTTAGATGAAGACATATATATGTACCAGCCCAAAGGGTTTGAAGTTAACTGTCATCAAAAGCTTGTCTGCAAACTCAATAAGTCCGTCTATGGACTTAAGCAAGCATCAAGGGCCTGGTCATCAAAGTTTAGTTCTAAACTCCACACCCTTGGCTTCATCACATCCAAGGCAGACACTTCCCTATTCTATAAACATATTAAGGGAGGGTCCATCTTCATTCTTGCATATGTTATGACATTATTATTACAGGCAGTGATCCTACCTTAATCAACAGCACCATATCCTCTCTGTCTTCATTCTTTTCCTTGAAAGATCTTGGGCCACTTCATTTCTTTTTAGGCATTCAAGTGTCCTACACTGCCACTGGGTTGTTTTTGGATCAGTCTCAGTATATAGATGATCTTTTGGATAGAGCTGGCATGAAGGGGGCAAAAGGCATAAGCACACCTATGGTGAGTCATCCACCTCTATCAAAGACTGATGGGCAACCTATGCAAAATGGACAAACTTACAGGCAGATAGTTGGAGCACTGCAGTACATTTCACTCACAAGGCCTGATGTTGCTTTCAGTGTCAATAAGGTGTGCCAATTCATGCACTCACCTCTTGATAAACACTGAAAAGCAGTAAAGAGAATTTTAAGATACCTAGTAGGGACAAGAGATTATGGACTGAAGCTGAATAAGTGCAAAGATTTTCAAATCACATGCTTCTCTGATGCACATTGGGGGTCTGATGTGGATGATAGAAGGTCTACCAGTGGCATGTGTGTTTATATGGGAGAGAACTTGATTTACTGGTCATCAAAGAAGCAATCTCTAGTTTCAAGGTCAACCACAGAGGCTGAATATAGAAGTGCAGCTCAGATAACCTGTGAAATCATGTGGATTCAGTCATTGTTGGATGAACTGAAAGTGAAGTTCTCAAAACCTAACACCATATGGGTAGATAATAGGGGAGCTGTGTGTTTCGCAAGTAATCCAGTGAATCACTCGAGGACAAAGCACTTGGAGTTGGATTTACACTTCATAAGGGAAAAGGTAGATAACAAGGTTGTGAGCATTAAGCATATCCCAGCAACAGAACAGGTGACAGACATATTTACCAAAGCTCTTTCTTGGAAATTATATGCTTCGCTGAGAAACAGATTGACAGTCACTTCAAAATCGAGCATAGAATTGAAGGGGGCTGTTAGAAGAGCTGTTGACCAAAGCCATATCATCAGTGACATGGAAAGCAAACATGCTGATGTGGAAAGCAAGAGAAAAGATAGTACATGCACCCTACAAAACCTAAGGTTAATCTAGTGAGTCTGGTTAATACACGTGTCCCTGTAAAGGTTGTATCCCTTAGCTCAGCCGCCTCATAAATAGGCATGTGTAGGACTTGCAGGTTTAAGAAATCAGAAAAAGCAACAAATCATATGTAGAAATAAATAAGATTGCATTGATAATGGAGAAGAAATTTTTAAAGCTTTCCTTTTGTGATATTGTGTTCATGCATCTTTCATGCATGCTTTTGCTCGTTTCTCTTTACAACTAATTATATAATAAAAGTAAATTTCACAATGGATTGTAGATAAAATATTAACGCATGTGAGAGATGAATATTTTACTAACGATAGACTCTTAATTCACCAACAATACGGTGATATGGTCCATGTAAAATTCTTGTTATACAATAGGTAAAGTAATCATAATACTGAATAAACTTCCATGTAAAATTCTCGTTATGCAATAGATAAACTAATCATAATACTGAATAAACTTCTATGCAGGGCAGGGACGTAGCAGATATTTTTTCCACCCGAGGCTGCAATACGTAGAGTTGTTATTCGAACCGAGTTGTTTGCTAACAAAGTTTAGTTCAACTTGTGAAAGCTCAAACTCGACTAACTCGTATACATAAATGAGCACAGTCAAACAACAAACTCGAACAATTTGAGTCGAGCATGTTCATGACCAACTCGGTTCGAGTTTGGTTTTGATAACGGTTAAACGAGCCAAAACCGAGCTTATATGAGCCAAGCTCAAGCTCACATTTTTTTTTTTTTTTTTTATTAAATGAGCTGAACCATACAAAGCTCTTTTATTAAATGTGAATCAACACAATCTTGACTCGAATAACACATGGAGACAGATAGATTAATAAAAATGTGAAAACCTAAAAAATAATTTTAAATATTTAAATTATATTTAGTGTAGTGAAGCAAATAGAAATATATTATTAAAATGTAATTATTTTATTTATGAAATAAAATTACCAACTATTATACTTTTTAGTCGTGTTTGAAGATTACTCATATTTAACATCAGGCATGAACTATTAACTACTCTATCGTATAAATGCATATTTTTCTTTTTAATTTTACCTATTTCAATTGAAAGCAACAAAGCTAACTTTTCTCATTTACTTTATTAAGTTTTAAAAAGTGTTTTACAATTGTGGTATAGAGTATTTATACCTTAGGGTAAGTGAGGATAAGTTGCCATAACAAAAAGGTAAAACACAATTGTTGCTACAATTTAAATACAATTTTACGTATGCTAATATGTCATCATTTAAATAAAATACAATATAGAAAAAAAGTGACATGCATATTATAAAAATAATGATAATATTTGTCTAATACATGTGCTGATGTGCACCAATACGTGGAAAATAAAATTACGTTTATCGCCCCATTTTGTATTCTGTGCCTATATATACACAAGCAAAATCACTCTTCTTAACCAGCACTAGTAATTCTCTAGAAACCGGAGCCCTGCTTATAGAGTTTCTGTTTATACACAAATAGCCAAGTGTGTTCGTACTTCATACATAGATCACATTTATATACAATATACACCTTAGAAAAAACTACTGAAGATAGCGAAAAATTAGAAAAATAAAATAACCAACTCGTCTTCTTCTTGTAGCCTTTTTTTCGTGTACCAACTGTTTCGCTTCCATGTCTTCTCCACCGGAAAAAGGATATGATGAAAATAAAGAGGCCCAGAAGCAGATCAGAAAGCCTGGAGGGTGGAGCTCCATGCCTTATATCTTGGGTAACTCTCTCTTTCTCTCTCACGCGCCTACACGCGCACACATAAATGCTGTGATGGTGGCGCGTGGTGTCTACACACGGCTGCTTCACATGTTCTTTGTTTGCATTCCTCAGTACGAAGTTTTTGTCTTTTTTCATAATCTTGCTACCTCATGAAAACATTTTTTTTTTTTTTTTTTTNCCCGTTTCCTTTTAATTTACTTTCAAAATATGATTATTATTTTAGTGAAATTCCATATTAATCATTATACAGTATATATGGAGGGAAAAAAAAAATATTATATGGAAGATAATGTTGTTACTGTAGTTCATGCATCTATGTCTCCTAATATTATATGATATCATAATAAAGCGTTCTCGAAAAATAATAATTGAAGCTGAATGACTTAAATTTGTCATGCCCGATGAGACTGCAATACGAATTACTGCTTTTAATGGGGCCCTTCGTCCTATCTGAGTTGGGAAAAGAGCCACATATTATTGTGTTGATAAGAGTACCAAATTTGTCACAGACACAGTGCATGTCTCATCTTTTTTTTTTTTTTTTAATTATTTAAATAATTTTATTATAATTATTGAATATTTGCTCTCTTTTGTCTCTCTTTTATTTTCTTCTTCTAAAATTAGCATAGAAACTACCGAGTACCGACACTTCATGATACTTGTTCGGGAACATATATGATCAAGTAGTTAGATCAAAATGGAAGAGTTTTGACGACTTTGTCCCCTAGTATGTCTTAGCAGAATATTGTCATCATTTTAAGGTCCAACTATAACAAAAACTTTTCTACACACCTGTGATTGTGAAGCAAACACAAGAGACAAAAGATGCTATCTTGGCCTAGCTTAGGTTCCGAATTTTTCTTATAATTAACTAGGTAAAATGTTAATGATTTGATGTGATTTTTCGTTAAAGACGTGTGTATGGATAATTAGTTATTATTATTTTTATTTTTTTTAATGTGTTGGCTAGCTAGCTAGCTAGCTATCGGCTTATCTAGTTTGGAAAATGAGATTACATTGTTGGTACAAAAAGAAACCGTATAATTCCTTCACTTTTTGGTAAAAATTTCAACGTTTTTTGACAGGGGAAAAGATTCAAAGTAAGGTCTTTCAATCTATCCTGAGGAGTTTAAAAAAATAGAGAATTAGGGTGGAAAAAGACGAGAAAATTGCAATTTTAGTCCAGTAACTTAGGCTGTTTCCCACTTTAGTCCAGTAACTTGGGTCGATCCAAAATTGGCCCAAAAACTTCCAAAATGTAGTTAAATTAGTTCAATTTCGGTCCCCGTCGCTAGAATCCGAATTGCCAACTCAACACATTCCGATCGGATTCCGTCGACGGAGACCGGAATTGGACTAATTTAACTACATTTTAGAAGTTTTTGGACCAATTTTGGATCGGTCCAAGTTACTGGACTAAAGTGAGAAACAACCTAAGTTACTGGACTAAAATTGCAATTTTCTCGAAAAAAGACTGTTGTGATAAACTGAAAATCCATTCATTTATTTACAAAGCTTAAAAACTTCAATGCCGTTCATTAAATAATTTGACAACCCATTCATATTTTATTCATTTTTTTGTGACAGGAAATGAGACTTTTGAAAGACTAGCGTCTATAGGGTTGGTAGCAAATTTCATGGTCTTTCTACTAACCGTGTTTCACATGGACCAAGTGCTGGCCTCAAATGTGCTCAATGTCTGGTCTGCCTTCTCCAATTTCAGTCCTTTGATAGGTGCATTCATTTCAGATTCTTGCTTGGGCAGATTCAAAACTATTGCCTATGCTACATTTGCCTCCTTTGCGGTATGGCCCTTTCAACAATATTGTTATTTTCTATTAATAGTCAATATATTTATTTTGTGGATATTACATATGCAAATTAGATATAACTCGATCTAGCCGTATATCAAATTTAGTTTTATTGAAATCCAATTAATTAATTAATTGTAATCCAATAATTTTGAAATTATCAATTTGAAAATTAACTGTTTAGGACGAAATATTGAATTATGGGCACACATTAAATTTCTAGCCAAAAAATGCGGATTTATGACAATTAATATCCAAGTTGGTTAATTAAAATCAAATGATTATATTTGAATGAAACTACTTCCGGTTGTTAGTGTACTTTTAAAAATATTTTTTATAACGATTAACACCAATTTTTTGTTACGGTTTAAACAGTGATTAAAAAAATCAATTAGATAACTTTTGAAAAATAAATAACGATGTGTTTCTACTCAANAAAAAAAAAAAAAAAATAATAATGATCTTATTCACCCAATTTGTGGAAGAAAACAAATTAATGTCAAGCTAGGCTAGTTGGATTAACATTTAACATTACAAAAATATTCTTCGTATCACAGAATCTTTGAATTGGAATATTTTAAAGTACCGGCCAGATTAATTTGTTTGATCCTTTTGAAAGTTTAAGTGATAATGAAGTCATGTTTCACCGTGGCAATCTACACGAAACTGCCTCCGAGAGGGTCTAATTATCAATTGTCTTCTAAATTACGAATTGAATATATTTTGTACCTGCCCATTTATAACTCTCTCATTTTATTAATGGTGCACTAAACATCTTATTATTTGAGATTCCCAAAGTTGGACGCACTTTTTGCTAAAAGCACTACAGGTGAGACCGTGAGGACATTGTCAGATTTTGATATGAAATAAACAATTACTCCTCTACCTAGTTACCTCAAAAATAAAATTTCATTGGTTACATCTTCAACATTTGTCATCGAAATTAATCTTACCCCAAAACAAAATTATGATAATATTAAGTGGACACGCTATGTAGGGAGCATGAAATTATGGCTTTCCCCATCATCGCCAAACCTAATCAACTCATCACAATCTCCATGATTGATTCACGTATATAATTTTGTAGTCCAAGTCCAATAATTATAACAAATATGATTTGACAATTAACAAAACTATACCAATCATTGATCACTGTATAGAGAGAGGTTGAATCTGAATGCCTCCCCGATCTTACTATTAATTAGGATTACATCAATTTGCTAATAATAATTGCCCCCTCATTAATTTGTTGACCTAACCAAACAGGGCATGCTGACGTTGACCCTAATCGCGTGGATTCCCCAACTTCACCCTCCCCCGTGCAAGGCCCATTCCCAGCAATGCTTGGGCCCAAACGGGGCCCAATTCGGGATCCTTGCAATGGCCCTGGGCTTCCTGTCCATCGGCACAGGCGGCATCCGGCCCTGCAGCCTCCCTTTCGGGGTGGACCAGTTCGACTCGTCCACGGAGGAAGGGCGGCGTGGCATCACGAGCTTCTTCAATTGGTACTACACTTCCTTCACCGTGGTCCTCATAATTGCCCTCACGCTCGTGGTCTACATTCAGGACGCGGTCAGTTGGGTGTGGGGCTTCGGAATCCCCACGGCCCTAATGCTCTGCTCCATAGTGCTCTTCTTCGTGGGGACCAGGCTGTACGTCTATGTGCACCCCGAGGGAAGCTGCTTCACGGGGGTGGCACGTGTCATTGTAGCCTCAATCAAGAAACGCAAGCTTAAGCTTCCAGAGGATGATGGGGCGTATCACGACCCCTTGTTGCCTTCCACCACCATTGTGAGGAAGCTCCCGTTGACCAGTCAATTCAGGTGATTTTATTAATTTATTTATTTATTTGGTTATTTGAAGAATCTCGTTGACGTGTTTGCGTATATTCTGCTATAAGAAATCAATGTTTATTGACGGAGCATTGATTTTATGGTTTAGGGAAAATATGTAGACCTGCTCCCATGTGGTAGGTATACTGTTGTCGTAGTTTTGATTTCAATCAATTAAATTATACTACAAGTTAGTTAAAATTAACTGTTGTGTTCCCTGATTATTCAGTTTCTGTAAGAAAATAATGTGTTGTGTTAGGGTGAAATATATATGCTTATTCTGAAATTTCATATGTATACAGAGTCATATTGAAATGAATGTTTCCATATATGTGGGGCGAAAATATCTAAACGGTGCGTGAACGCACAAAATCTGTGGTCCCCACTGAAAGAGATATATTGATCGTAGTCGTAGGCCATGTTCTGCATATTAGTCATCATCTGCAACACGCAATTCACTTCAACCATGAAGAGCAGATCTTTTTTATGTCAGCTTAGACGCACATTGCAAAAGCATTACGTTTTATAAGGTCGGTCCTAATAATGCAAAAGTGAAGTCATCTTTCAAAGCCACAAGTTTCTTGACGTATATATGCATATTAGATAGATCATTCCATGTGATCATGACAGAGTATCTGTAGCTCTTATGGTAATCAAGGTGCTAAAAAAAACAAAAAAAACAAAAATGTTAATTTCTTTCTGTCCAGGTTCTTCAACAAAGCTGCGGTAATAACCGACGGCGAGATTTCACCGGACGACGGTTCAATCACCCACCCCTGGAGACTCTGCACCGTGCAACAAGTGGAAGAAACCAAATGCCTCTTCCGCGTCATCCCAATATGGGCCTCGGGCATCATCTGCTTCATGGCCATGGCCCAACAAGGCACATTCACAATCTCCCAAGCCCGACAAATGAACCGCCACCTGGGCCCAAACTTCCAAATCCCCGCTGGCAGCCTCTCCGTCATATCATACATCACAATCGGGCTATGGCTCCCATTCTACGACCGCGTGCTCGTCCCTTACCTCCGAAAAGCCACCAAAATCGAGGGCGGGATCACTTTGCTCCAGCGCATGGGGGTCGGGATGGTGTTCTCGATAGCGTCAATGGTAGTCGCGGGGCTGGTCGAGCGTGTCCGCAGGGCGTCGGCCGTGCAGCACGCGGGGCCCGACGGCGTGGCGCCAATCACGGTCCTATGGCTGGCCCCGCAGCTGATGCTGATGGGTTTTGCAGAGGCGTTCAATATTATTGGGCAGATCGAGTTTTACAACAAGGAGTTTCCGGAGAGCATGAGTAGTTTGGCGAATTCGCTTTTCTCGTGCACTATGGCTGGGGCGAACTACCTGAGCGCGATTTTGGTGAATGTGGTGCACGAGACGACGGGGGGACACGGCCGGCCAGACTGGTTGACTAATGATATTAACAGGGGAAGGGTCGAGAATTTGTACTTTCTGATTGCGGGGATGGGTGTGGTGAATTTGGGATATTTTCTGTGGGTGTCACGTGGGTATCGGTATAAGACTGTGTTTCGGGTGGAGGATGAGGGTGGCGATGATGTTGAGCTTAGTGTGCTTAAAAAGTGAAATTAATTGGGTCATGATGACTTTGCGTTTTTTTATTAATCCATTTTCAGCTTGCGTCACCATATGTAGTTTGGGAATGGAATATAGTAGTCGTAATTAAGGTAGCAGTGAGATTGAGATATATGTGTTGAGTTGTTACCATAGTCAGAATAAATATTTGCTCTCATCGTGGAGAATAGCGTTGCTTTGTCCTGATTATTTGTCCTATGGTGAAAACTTATCTTGGGGCATTATGTAATTTTTGCCCTTTTCCGAACTCGTACTTTGCACCTTGAGCATAAGGTGGAGTTCATGGCAAGTCTGATACCATTCCGTCAAATTTTTTCATATTCTTATTTATTAAAATAATAAAAAAAATTAAAAAAAAAATCCACATCAGCATTTTGGAATTACCGGCTGTAGCCTGTTAGAGAACCAAGATTCTATTTTCTTTTTTTTTTTTCAAATGAAAGACTAAAGCCATGAACACCTAATCAAATTCAAAGTTGAGGTCTACTAGGGGGAAAAAACTATTTTTAGCATATATTGAGTGATAATATTGATCAACATATTCCAATCCTTGTACCTATATTTATCAAGAATTTAGAATTCTCTCCCCACCTACACCATAATTTAAAATTATATTAAAGAGAGAGAGAGGAGAGAGAGAGAGAAGGCAAATGGATTTTATGGTTGGTAAACTGTGATTTCGTGGTAATTAGTTACACTACAGCAATGAATATTGTTAGTTTATGCTAGCTCTTTAATTGTTAGTCTATGCTACTTGGTTATAGGGGGGCATTAAGACTTTGAGAGTAGATAATATATTAACTTGTCCTATTAGTAGGTAGTGATAACTTATATTATCCTCAGCCATGTTTAACTCCGTAATTCAAATAGCTTCGTCAAAAGGGTTTTTATCGTTAGTAGTGTTTTTATCGTTACTATATATTCCTAGCTTTATTTTTATGTCCTTTTTGGGGTTACATATTGAAACTCAAAAGTCTAAAGGGTTTCCTTACGGTGTAGAAGTTGTTCATTATGATTTTGAGGGACATTTTTTAACTTTTTGAAACTTTAGACTTTTTAAAATGTTTAAATTTAAAAAAAAAAAAAAAATTCTATGAAATTTTAAATCTTAAGATGAGATTTGGAGTGAAATTTCTTATATGATTTTTTCTTTTAAAATCTCAATAAATCTTAAAAAGTCTTAATAAATCTTAGTTTCAAATAAGTTAAAAATATATCAAATTTTGTAAGACTTTGAAATATTAAATGAATATCTCGAGACTTTTAAAAGTTTTAAAAATCTAAATTAATTACATCATAATTTCTGAAGTCTTGAAAATTTTTAAAATTCTAGAGGAATACACCCCTTAATTTTTAAATATATTTATACAATTGTAATTATTCTACATATCAATTCAATTTGTATTTTTTGTACTTACGATTGACATTTTGAGATTTTGAGATTTGAGACTTTTTAAGATTTCCAGATTTAGGAGAATCTTATGAAATCTTCAGTATGGAGGTGATTTTGAGTGGAATTTCGTATATGTTTTTTCTTTAAAAATTTCAGCAAATATTAAAAAGTCTTAACAAATCATAGTCTTAAACAAGTTAAATACCTTAGGATTTTGTAAGAATTTATAAAATTCCAAATGAATACTTGTCCTGACTTTTAAAAATTTTAAAAAGTCTAAACTAAATACACCAGAATTTATGAATTTTTAAAAAGTCTTTAAAAATCACAAATGAATACAATCTTCTTAGAATTTTGGCCTCGTAGAAATTTGAGGGGAAACCATTTCGAGCTCGAGACAGGAAGATCAACGCATTCTGCAGCAGCATATGTGTAATATATATATATTATATATATCAAGTAATTAAGACCAAAAAAATAATGAAACCACTTGTTTATGTAATAATTGTACGAATTTAACTATAACAACAAATTAAGAAAAATCGGATAATAAAGTATTAGTCTACCCAAGCATCAGTCATACTTTGAAAAGTAATGCATATAAATCCAAGCAAATCTCTCACTAATTTGAACACCAGAAAATTCCACTACAATGACATTTTCACACAATATGAACAAGTCCACCATCAAGCATGGAGGATTTTTGGATATAAAAATTTTTGGATTTGTTTGGATTTTTTGGTTTAATTTGGTTAATTTTGAAAAATGTGGTATGGTTAGTTGTTAGTTGGTATATTAAAATAATATTTAAAATAAAATAATTAAAGTTGATTTGATGTAAAAATATGAGAGAGAGATTTAAAGTGATGGTTAGTTAAAATTATGTGAGTGGATGAATAGTGAATTAAAGTTGATGTGATATGTAAGAATGATAGGTTAATATTATTTAATTATATTAATAATATTAATAATAATTGGGTTGAGTTAAAGTAGAGTTAAAAAAATGATTGAGTTAAAAATGTTTAAATTTTTTGGATAAATTTTATATCCAAACACCCATACATCGTCTCCAAGTGTTGCAATTCACCACTCAACTATTATCCAACAAACTACACTACAAATAAGACCTTAGACTATATAAAACTTTCTATAATCCATGGCCCATGGGCAAGCCAAATTGGCCATTAATTGAACTCACCTGTCAAAATATCAACTTTACTTTAAACATATATTTTTTCAAAACAATATTGACCAAAACATTGTGCGCATTCACATCAATGAGCTTTCCTTACAAAGACGTTTTATCTTTATGTTCTTTAATAGAGTCTAGAAATGTCTCTTTTGCTTTTTACATTTGTCTTATTAGGTTAATCAAAGATACTTTCCTATTTTAACATTTATCAGGGCGCTTTCCCTGGGCAATTTATTTCCTCCATCGCCGTGCCATGATAAAGTTTACATGTTGCCAAACAATATGTGACCCTCCACTAGCTAAAACGTATCTCGTGTACAAAAGGAGTGGGTTTTTTACTTTTTTAAAACTTCAATTTCTGAGAGATGTCACTCTCACGAGTGTGACATGTGTTCTACCGCAGAAATATACTGTNACTGTGTTAATGAACTCACATAATTTTAATTGCCCATATCACTTTCAATCACCTATCTCTTTTTTTTTTATATATATATTAAATCAATTTTAATCATTTTATTTTAAATTTTATTTTAATACAAACTTAAAATTCAACTATAAACTAACCATACCAATTTTTAAAAAATTAATTCTGATTAAAAAAAAAAAACTAATCAAATATCAAGCACACCATAAATAGTGCTGTAACAATTACGTACCTTTCAATCTTCCCCGTGGATGATCTCAATTTATGGTTTTTTAACCACATTAAAAAATAAAAAAAAAAATAAGTAGACAAAAGTAAAAAGAAAAAAAAAATGGGTGGACCAAAATCAAAAGCACGTATTTTAAGAATACGTTTCTATTTAAAAAACGTATTTTTAAAATACGTCTTAAAGTTAAATAAATAAATTATGTTATTAACTTACTTTAATAATAAATAAAACGTATTTGTTTTAAATAATTATATTTATAAAGCGTATTAAATATGTTTTATAAATAAAATTATTTAAAACGTATTTTAAAAATACGTTTTTATAAATAAAATTAATTTTATAATATATTTATTGAAGAAAATAATTTTTTTTAAAAAAAAACATATTTTTAAACCAGAAAACAGTAAAACGTATTGTGCAAATACGTTTTTAACCCTAAACTCTAAACCCTAAACCCTAAATCCAAAAAATGTATAACCAAAATACGTTTTCTTCATTAATTATTTGTAGAACGTATAACCTAAATACGTTTTATTCATTAATTATTTGTAAAACGTATAACCAAAATACGTTTTATTCATTTATTTATTTTTTCAAAAACAATTTTTTTCAATTGTTTAACCCAAAAAAACATATTTTAAATATTCAAAACAAGCAATTAAACCAACAATACACTAACAAATCAACCAATTTACCCTAAACACCACAACAATGGTTTTAAATAAATCATCCAAACGATCCATTTGCATGCGTGCCAGACGATCCATTTGCATGATCTGGATAACTACATCTAGTACACTGTCCCCTATCAATTCTGTAGCATGCCAGACGATCCATTTGCATGCGATGGTGTCTCGTTTGCACGCCACCAGGTCCAGACTACACAATGGAGCAAAAATCCAATCAGTAAATTGAGCTAGCCAGGTATTCGTCCAAAAGTATGAATCGTAAAATAATTTTGGTTGATCCCCAATGTCACGACATACGGATATTGCAAGAGAACATGTTTTCCTATGTGTCTTCCACTTCCGATAACTGTAATGTTTTAGGTGGTATTCAACCGTATACCTGTTTTTTCCCAGTAATTTATATATATATAGAAAAATAAAAAATTTGAATGGACAAATAAAAAAACCATATACCTGTTTTCCCTTTTCCACTAGTTCGTAAACCGGTTATCACTCTGTACCTGAATCTGTTGGCGTTCATATATAGCACAATATGAGATGCGATTGTCTTCTTCAATCCCAAAAAGGCGGCATAGTGCTCATTAGTAATGAGACTCCTGCATTTTGTGGGCTTATTTTGTTCATGTTCAAACAAATCCAGAATTTTGTTAAATGTGGTGTGTACCAAAACCAAAGCTCTGCAAGGCGGAAACCTAACACCTTTCAAGACGTTGTAGTAGCAAATATTCCAATGTCTAATCCACCACAATGGAAGCCAATTCAAGAGAGGCTCTTGAGTTGCCCTGCACGAAAATGAGTTATTTGGTAGCAAAACTTTGAAAGGTCATAACCTTGAGTAGAAATGTCCGTTTTGGACGCATAATATATGAATTTGGGGTAGCTCGCGAGATCTACGCAGCCGCAAATGGACGAAGGCGGTTTGGCCGACCAAAAATTGAAAAAAAAAAAAAAATTCGAATAATAATTTGATTTTGATCAAAATCTAGACATTTTTCATATTTTTAAATCTTTATATCTTCCAAACGGATATTCTTTTTACGAATTTTTCCGTATCACAACAATGCTCTCAACTTCAATTTCATGTACCAATGGGAAAAATTGGAACACACATATTTGTACCGAATTACGTCTATATGTACATTACTTGTTGACATTTTTTCAACAAAATATGTTTTGTCTAGTGAATAACTTGGTAATTTTATTTTTTTTCACTTTGGTGGGAGGTCATGGGTTTAAGTCCTCTAGAGTCTCCTTTTGTTATGTTTTTTATTTTCTCCTTATACACATGTGATGATATATATGTTTTTTTTTCTTTTCTCATTGTACACGTGATGATATATGTATGTAATTTTATTTTGTATATATATATATATAATGTATGTATGTTTACAAATATTTCCCTATATATATATATGTGTGTGTGTGTGTGTGTGTGTGTGTGTGTGTGTCTATAATTTTATTTTTAGATATTTATTTTTTTATTAATAGGTCTTTTAAAAAATAATTAAATTATAAAACGTATTACGAGAATACGTTTTAAAAAAAAAATTAAAAAAAACGTATTCTCATAATACGTACGTTTGATTTTGGTACACAAATTTTTTTTTCTTTTTATTTTTGTCTACTTGTTTTTTTATTTTTGTAAATAAATAATTCACCTAAAGTCCTCCATTTTGTCTTTAATAAATTGCATGAAAAATGTAGATTATTCTATAATATAGCTATCTTATATAACTAGTTTAAGCTGTAATCATCTTTTTAATTTACTAATTTTTATTTTAAATTGAATACCACACTCTAAGAAACAATACAAATAAAAGTTTAATATTTCATAACATAAGTATATATTATTTATTAAAAAAAAAAGTATGACAAGGTGATATGGCCAACAGATAGACCGCTTTATATAAAAAAGGGCTGAATTTATCTAAGATTGCATTCGAGGTTTGAAAGAGTTTAGATTTTAAAAAGAGGACTTGCAAGATAGGAAGCTTGCAAATAACTTTGTCTAAATTAGATGAATCCAATATATTAAAGTAAGCTTAAGAATGCAAAATTTATCCAAAATTGGACTTGGCCCACTCGTGACCAAGTTGGGACTCGTACCAGTACGTGATTGCAATTATGACCTTCGTGAGATAATGAAATTTTTACTATCGCGTGAAAAATACTATATGTTTGAAAATTTTAATTTTAGATCCATTTATGACACCAAATTAAATTTGCAATTAAAAAAAAAATCAACGAAGGCCATTTTGTAACTTCACACAATATTTCACCTCTTTTTAGCTATTTGACGTGGAATAGATAATTGAGGGAGAACTCTCGTATTCACTTATTTCAATCAAATTTAATTACCTTTTAACAATAGAATATGAGTCTTAAATAGAATTTATAAAGAACTTACTTATCTTAAACTTAGACACATAAGAAATCCCTATTTAAATAACTTCTCTTGAAACAAAGGACTAAAATAATTAAATAACTTCTCAATCATGTAAAACTAGTATGAATCCCGTGTGATGCGAGATATTCATTAATATTTATAAATTAAAAAATTTCATTAAATAATATTTATTAATTAAAAATATAGAACCTATATGAAGTACAATTTATCTATATTAGTTATTGTGTGGAAAATACTTCAGGAAGCTATGCAGGGGCATCCTATATTACTGAATAGAGCACCCACTCTGCATAAATTGGGTATACAGGCATTTCATCCCGTTTTGGTTGAAGGACGTATTATTTGTTTACGTCCATTAGTTTGTAAGGGATTCAATGCACATTTTGATGTGGATCAAATGGTTGTTCATGTACCTTTATCTTTGGAGGCTCAAGCGGAGGCCCGTTTACTTATGTTTTCTCATAATTAAAAATTTTATATAAAATTTAAATTATGAAAAATTACATAAAAATATCTATTTAAAATTAGTATACAACTCATGCGGTGCACATAACTGATGATAAATTATATTATATTCATTTCAAAATAAGTGTCATTTCAAAATTTTATTCAGAAATTCGATTAAACTAAAATGTGATTCTATAAAATAATTATTTTTGAATAAAATAATTTTATCCAAAATTGTGTTTCAGCTTTTGGATAAATTCCGCCATACAAAGAACTCAATGTCATCATCGAATTGTTCACCTTTAGATCAACACTCTTACATTTATATCTATATGAACTTGTGCTAATCCAATTGTAAAATAATGTGAGTGCAAGTTAAAATGCTCCCAATATGATATTTCATATTAAAAGCCATATATACAGAGAGAGGAAATATCAATTTTCACGCCGTTCTAAAAATAAATAAGTTTTTCACTCTGTTAGATAAAAAGTTAATTTTTTCACCTCACAAAGTGCGAAAGCATTATGCTGTTATTATGCGACAATTGTCAATTGATGTTGTGCGAAAGTTAAAAATGCGAAGGCATTCGCATAACCCTACCACGAAGCGCACCATGGAAAAACGGGAAAAGCCCATATGAAGCTCAAATGGGGTTCCATCCCAAAACCAATTGGTGAAAGGAGGAGTAGCACATTAGTCTTATAAGGTGGGTCTATTTTTCATATATGGACGATGTGAAACAACTCACAAGTAATATTTTAACATGTGTAACTAAAAGTTACATATTATTATTAAATGTTTAACATATTTTTATTAAATGAATACCTATTTTTATTGAATGAATCCATATTATTATTAATTGCTGACTGAATAAAATTTATTGAAATTTGTCAACAATTATATGTATATAAATGTGAATATGCGATAGTTATGCGATTGACATGCAACATTTATACTACTTACATGTAATAGTTATACGAACTATATTCGGATAACATTCTCATTTGTAGAGTAAAAAAACTTAATATAATCTTACGAGTGTAAAAGAAATTTGTCATATAATATGTATATATTATATTATTTATATATTCCCTTGTCAAAATCCAAAATTTTAGCTGTCTCCTTGTCCCCCTTCTAACGCTAATAAACTCATTCTCCTCTTTTCTCTCCCTCACTCTCTCCCTCTCCTTAAACACCACTCACTAAAAACATAAACACACACACAGTTTATTTCTTCACTCCTTCCTTAATTAATTAACCTAATCATTTTACACATTTGAAAAATTTCCGATGGAAAGCGCCGGCGGGATTTTCCACACGGCCTATAGCTACGGCGCTCAATTCACACCTGAGAGGAGGCTCTCGGACGCCAAGACCGGCGACCCTTTCGTAATTGAGGACCTCTTGGACTTCCCCAGCGACGACGGCGGCGGCATCGAGGCGACGGTGGCGGTGGAGAACACTTCGTTATCATCTGTCAACACGGCCGAGGATCCGCCGCTGGGTGGCTTCCACTCCGCCGGCGGTCACTTTTCCGGTGACCTTTCTTTGCCGGTACGCAATTGAATTATTACTATTAATAATTTTGTTTGGGCTTGCCTTGGTTAATCAGCCTGAAGCCTGATTAACGCCGTGTATTGTAGCTCTTATTTTTGCTTTTTGGATAATATTATCCCACATTGGTATTGTTATATAAATCAATCGTCATATCTTTTTAAATATATATAATTATGCTGTATATTTATTTATATTATTTTTAAAGCACATAATTGCATGGTTAATAGCAGCTCTAATGACATTATTTATACAAAATATCTGTAACATGTATAATTCATTAGCAAATTCAGTATGANCCATCAAACCGTAAGTCAATCATATATATATATATATGTAATTTGCCAAAAAAAAAATCATATTTTTTTTAATAATGTTTATAGAGTATCATATTTTCGTTTGTATTATATTGTATTCTGAAGTGTTATATCTTAGTGAAAAATTATTTATATTTATTAAAATAGAATGGTTGTTGATTAATTAAACATCATGATAGAAGACATACCAACTTTGTGACCTTCATTGCTACTTTCTTGGTGGTTTCGTTAATTAAAAAAAATAAAATGCTACTTTCTTGGGCAGTGGCGGATCTAGGAATTTTATTCAAGGGGTCCGATTTGAAATGTTAAATAACGAACTTATAATTTAAGTCGAAACGTTCATTTCATATAAAAATGTATTTACTAGTAAATATAAATATCGATATGTGTATCATCAACTTTTTAAAATATTATAATTTGTATCACCCTCAAACTTCTACAAAAATAAAAATAAAAGAAAAATGATCGAGATTATATATTTTAAGTTCAACATCTATAATTTATGAAAAAATAAGTTTTCTGATAGAAATTTTGATTTAAATTAAACATTTGTAGCACAATACATATCATTTTGTTGATGAAAGCTTATCAAATTAGCATTTTTTTAAGAAAAAAAATAAAGTTAAAAATATGTGATTGTCATAAAAAGAAAAAGTAAAGAGGCCAACATTAAAAAAAACTAACAATCAGAAATGCTATGGAGCCATCAGATGGTTCCTTTATGGAGCCATCCATAACGTTAGGTATTGACACGTGTCCAATGTGCATTTATTACAGGACACGTGTCAATACATCATTTGTGGATAACTATGGATGGCTCCATAAGCCGAGCCATCCGATGGCTCCATAGCAAAACCGAACTAACAATACAACCTATTCGATTTTATAAATTACTAAATGGATTTACAATTAAGAGACCGAAAGAGTAAATCATTGTAAATATTTTCAAAAATTTATCTTTAAATATAAATATAAATATTGTTAGTATATTTTTTAATAAATAAATAAAATTATTAATTTAATTAAAATAGAATTGAAAATTTCTTTTAATTATAAATATATTTGTAAATATTTTTTTATTTTCTATATATATTTTATTTATAGTATTATATATATATATATATATATATATTAATTTTTTTAAAGAAATGAGGGGGTCGTCCATGGCCCCTGGGCCTTCTTTGGTTCCGTCTATGTTCTTGGGAAACCCAAAAATTGTCATTAAAGAGGGATAAGAAAATAAAGGCTGAAGTATTATTTCATTCACTTTTTATTCATAAAAGTATATGCATATTATATATCATCGAGTAAGAAATTAATTTCATACAACAAATAATATACTTGAGTAACTTTATCATTTTCATTAAAAACAATTTCTAATTAACTTTATTTTTTTCCACCTTTTCACACAGTACGATGACGTGGCCGAGCTAGAATGGCTCTCCAACTTCGTCGAGGACTCTTTCTCAAGCGAGGAGGACCTCCACAAGCTGCACTTCATCCAAGGAACCAAGGCCCGACCCGAAAACCAATCCCGGGCCCACCACCAACACAAATTCCAGCCCGAACCCGCCCGACCCGAAGTCCCTATCCCCGCCAAGGCCCGCAGCAAGCGCTCCCGCGTTGCATCCGGGAATTGGGCCTCCCACCTCCTCTGGGCCGAGTCTGAGGCCACCGGGCCCACGGACCAGCTCGGCCCACAGAAGGGGACTGGACCCGGTCCCACCGGCGGCAGGGAGGAGGGGAGGCGGTGCGTCCACTGCTCGACGGACAAGACCCCACAGTGGAGGACCGGGCCCATGGGCCCGAAGACTCTGTGCAACGCGTGTGGGGTTCGGTACAAATCGGGCCGGCTGGTGCCCGAGTACAGGCCCGCGGCAAGCCCAACTTTCGTCCTCACGAAGCACTCGAACTCGCACAGGAAGGTGCTGGAGCTGAGGCGGCAGAAGGAGATGGTGCGGGCCCACCAGCAGCAGCCGAATGTGATGTTTGATGTATCCAACGGTGAGGATTACTTGATTCATCAACACGTAGGGCCAGATTTCAGGCAGCTGATTTAGAGCTCTTTTTTTTTAGTTTCTTGGATTTTACCACGTTATTTGAATTAATTTGGAAGGTTATTTCTTGACTTTTTTTAATGTTTACGTTTTTGCCAAAATCTTGCAAATTATTGAACATCTTTGGGTTGAGTCTGCATGGACCATATAACATATTGATTCTGAAATTTTCTTTTCCCTCACATTATTTTCTTATGGAATCTTAATAATTTAATGATCATATATCATGATATAGCAATTTAATACTATAAAATCGACAGTTGAATGAAATTGAACTAACTTGGATACAAGATTACTCCATGTTTTTAAGTAATACTGCACAAATTTGGATGGGTTTTGAAGTTAGAGACAATTAAATGCCCTACCCACTTACGTTCTTCGTGTTTGATTAGAACTTTTAAACGAAACGAGTCACTCAAGCTCAAAAACGCATTGAGGCTCAAAAATTGGTTTTTTGTAAATACAATTTTATATATCTCAACTCATTGAGTTTGGGCTCGTTAACAAAATGAGGTCATGAGCTCAACTCGACTCGATAAAGGTTTAAGTCCGAACTTTAGTATCTCGCACCCCTAAACGTGACAGACAACCTTTTCTAACATGAGATGTATTTCACTTAATTACAATCAATTATTTTGTCATTGATCAATCATATTTTTCCCCCTTAATTATGCAAAAAATAAGTATATGGTGAGCATGAACCAAGCCTGAACAATAGCTGGATTGTAGGATACATGACATAGCTAGATTCAAATGATCACAAACCCTTATTTAATTTTTTTATCCAATTATTTTCCCACTAAGCTATTATGATTATATTATTTTTTATTTACTCGTTTGATTTGTAGTTTTTAACGTATTTTCCCTCGTATTCTGCAGCCTACACCGAAATCTGTACTGTGTTAAATACTGGCAACTATATCTTTTTACACGAACTTCAATTCTACATTTCTACTATACCTTATTTCGTTGGTCCTCGGGAAATGCTAGAAATATTGGCACATTTGAAACTTTAATTTAGAAAGCGTCTACTTTCATATGCACATGTGAGCATCACAATTCCTCTGAATTTGCACTGAATTTGCAAATTATTAAATTCAGAATTAAGAAATGCATGTGACACTCGTATTATAATCGAGTTATAACTTATATATAAGTTGATAGTTGATACAGTTAAGTCATCCATAATTATTTACATATAATGTACTAATACATATTAAAATGTTAATACACTTAAAATATACATCAACTAAAATGGATGGCTCTAGCAAAGCTATCAACTAGCTTCATATAATGTGTTTAGACTCTACAAACGGTGACCTTCTCATTAGTCGTTAGTAACCCAAAAATTACTCGCCCATTAATAATTCAAAACTACATTCTAAAATTAATAAACTTTTTTTTAAAGGAATTTTATCCTTATCGTCTTATCAGATGTATTTATTTGATTGAAGGTGCAATTGGCTGTAATTTCTTTAATTTAAAATAGTATACTATTAATTTGATCTCTTTATTCTCTTCAATCTTGTTAAATAATTAAAAATTCAAATTAATCATTGTGACAGGTTTTCAAACCAACAAAAAAACATCACTTAGCAAGTTTTAGCTATTAATAATTGTCAGAACTATAATTTTATCACATCAATTTTAATCACTATATTACTCATTTCAAAACAATTCGATTATAATTTTCTCACTTTCTACTTTACTATTTGGATGAGACTTTTTTTAAATAAAAAAATTATTTCCAATTGTCTCCGAATCGTGGATTTTCAATAGACCATAATATAGAGGCTTGGATGTGAAACGAAAAACCCAAAATGATATCTTCATTTTGAGTAGAATATATTGAGTAATATATATTTTGATTCTATTATTATTACAAACAACCTCCAGAGCTTTTTTTTGCCATAATTTTAATGTTTTACATGTCTACGAATATTCTTATAGTTATTTATTTATAATTGACTTTAAATCAGTAATACAACTATACATATGTGCGATCCCAGACATCGCTGATCCATAGGCTTGGACAGTACTACAAGTTTACAAATAAGCGAATCTTAGTTCAATTTTCATAATTGCCTAATATAAAAAATGCATAATATTTATTTATAATCTTTATTACCTAAAAATAATTCGGAATCCATGCAGTACTGATCTGCAGCAAGATTAGTTTAGTATTTCAATGACAGTACTGTTATGTAGCACCAAGCTGTATAATTCGAGCAGATATGTTTTAAAATGTATTTTAGTTAAATTAAAATATATTTTGGCAGTAATTTAACAGAATCACATGCTTTTAATTTCTTCCAAAACTGATTCGTACCCCAATTTTGGTCCTCATTTTCATTTAATTTCATATCTTTGTAATTTTTTAATAAAAATATCCAAGATAATATATAGAAGAAAAATTTATTCATTAAATTCAAGTAACAAGTTATGCTTGGTTCATATTGACATAGTACTTCCACAACAAATTAGTTATTGGACCTAATTTATATTTTCAGTAAATTGATTTAAGAAGATGCCTAAGCAATGTTTACTTTTTATTGCTGCCTTAATTTGCTAAATTAATTGTGAACTAATTTCAAATGCTATTACAATTGGCAATAAGACTACTATTAGGCAGGCCTGTCAATTAGACCATCATGTATTTCAACAAATATGTTGCGAAACTCAGACGATAATAAACTCTAAAAATTGACATAAAAAAATATGACATTTCGAATTCGTAATAATATGTATTTTTTAACATAACAAGTGCTCACATACTTTGATATCATAGAGGCGTTTAATTAATAATCATTACACGCAACTTCGTCATACTGAACTAATTATATTAATTTCAAAGCCCAAAGTCCCATCTGTGCATTGTATAAATTGGCTTTTGTAGGGGGTGATTCGTGAGCAAAATCAGTTAAAATTAATTAAAATTAATCTTGATTTAAAGTGAGTTATTTTAAATAAAGTTGATTGGGTGGAATAAAAACGATTGTAATTAAATAATATTCAAAATATAATTATTAAATTTAATGTGATGTAAAAAATATGAGATATATATATATGTGTGTGTGTGTGTGTGTATGATAAAATTAAGTAAGAGATAATTAAAAATATGTGAACGAATGAATGGTAAATTAATATTGGTGTGATGTAAGAGAAAAATGATTGATATTATTTAATTATACTAATAATATGGATAATAGTGGGTTGAGTTAGATTTTGAGTTAAAGTAAAAAAAAAAAAAAATGAACCAATGAGAAATTGATTTTGATAAGTTTTGACTCATTACAAATCACCCCCTTAACATATAGGCACACACACACATACACACATATATATGTGTGTGTATAATTTGAAAAGACTATTGTATTGATACGATCGTTAATAGTGTAAGCCACATACGAATATTAACTTTAAACATTAGCATGGACGTAGTAGGATGTTGAGACACAACATGACGATTTTAAAAAGGGTATTGAAATGTATCAAACATTACAGAAGGGTCAAAAGTCGGGAAACCTAAAAGTACAAGTTCGTACAAAACATGAAAACGATGATTAATATAAGTTACACAACATATTTTCTAAAAGGATGTCACATACTTGTGCATAGGGGTGAGCATCGGTCGATTGGCCCAAACCGAACCAAACTTAACAAAAAAAACTGAAAACGGAAATTGTAATAGCATAGCAAACCGAATAAGCATTTGAAACCGAACGACAACCGACCGAAATTATCGGTTTGGTTTGGTTTTGGCCACTGCATTAAGCTATTAATAAATAATCTCATTTTGCAGATGTTTAACAAGTAATAAAATGACCTGATAAAATCAACAACATTCCAAAAGTGATAATGAGAGAGTGAAAGTCGCAAGATTATAGTAAAGTTCAATAGTTAATATTTATCTAATTGAAATCAATCCCGGACCATTATTATACATGTGATTTGTCAATTGGGCTTTTAAATTACGTGGGCATATTTCTTGTCTATTGGGCCTATTCATATTATGCCCACTTCCATTGAAACCTATTAATTACTCTAATAATTTCGATTCGGTTAATCCAATTATTTAGTTTAGGAAACCGAACCGAACCAAAGAAACTGTTTTTTGTTTTTTAAAAAATTAAAACCGAATTGAATTATGTGATATAAAATCCGAACCGAATAATACTATTTGATTCGGTTCGGTCGATTAATTCGGTTTTAACCTATTATTGCTCACCTCTACTTGTGTATGTATTTTCGTCAAAAGTTGAGGGACTAATGGAGTTATATGTGCCTAACATTGAAAATTGATCAACTGTGACGTTTCAAAATATTAGCTCGTGGAGTGAATATGGTACTTTATAATTCAATGCTTAATTGAACAAATCAAGATATAGACGGTGCGACATATGGAAAAATATATAACAATAACACGTATAAATTAAAGTAGTGGAAAACAATCGATCATTATGAAAATCATCTTGAATATTAATATGAATTTTATCCTATTTTAACGAAAAATTATGATACATAATAGTTTAATATATAATTTATGTTGTATTTCACCAATTATAAAATGATATTCATTTTAGAGTTCCTGTTAAAAATTAAAGAAAATAAAAATTTAATATATTTAAACACCATCAATAAACAATACTCATAGAAAATACTTCATTATTTTATTTCTTACTCATACACTTTTACAATGTATTATTTCAATTTATAAATAAGTGATGGTAGAGTTGAAAATTTGTGACAAATATTATAATCTGACACATAGTTTATAAAAGATATATGGTGTATATTATAAAGATATAAAATTTACTAAATTAATTATGTTAAAATTTATTTATTTTTTATAATTTATAATTATGTAAATTATAAATATTATGTATTTTGTTTCTAATGTAATATTCGCATGGCAGTTCAAAATTGGTTGATTATCATTATAAGTTAAAAATATATATTATAAATATTTTGTGTTTTTTTTTCAAGGTAGCAAGTTACATCGTTGTTCAAAAATTGTTCGACTCGTTTGTTTATCGTTAATTTATAACAATATATGTTATAAATATTTGATTTTAGCTTCTAAGTTAATAAATACATAGATAGTTTGATGTATTATCTATTGGTTAACAATATATTATAAAT